TCTGTTGGCTTGCGACTCCGCGAGAGACATGTGAATCATTGCAAGTGGATTTAACGATCATATTTCATCTGTATCGAAACGAGGCGAAAGGGTTCAGCAGACAATGTTTTCCTATAGCCTATCTCTATAGACCTTTATGATGGTAATATAGGATACTCAGGATTAGAGATTGGAAACCCAAATACTTATCCCTAAAGGTAACTTTTTTCATACCAGCTTAATATTATATCTTATGGAGAACCATTGGTTCTCTCTTTTCATTTACAGCCTTGATCTATAATTTAACAGAAAGCATCGATTGTTAAGCTCGTGAATGCATTCACAAGTTTATCATTCTTAAATTCGCACAATGCCAAATTCCAATTGCAATATAAAATTGAATGAATTACTTACATGGGACATAAGTAAAAAACGGTTTAAGTCTTTGTAACTTAACTCTACACAGTTTTCATTTTTATGTTATTTTTGCACTCATTGTAAGCCGATATCATTGGACTGGATTAAGCACACAGCCACATCGCAATGAAATACGCCCCACTTCCAGGGCCGAGTAATCCGCAAGCCGCAGATCCACAGCTCATAGCCGTATCAGTGAGAAACCACAGCACGCGCCACAAAAAGCGATCAATGCTGACCTGAGGGAGATAGACGCTGTAGAGAGGGGGGCGACGGGAGGGAGGGAGGTAGGGGCGTTTGTAGAAACAGCACAAAGTAAAAAAAAAAAAAAAAAAACGAAAAGAAAAGAAAATTCAATTGGATCAGCGAATTTGCAATGTCGCTGCAGTAATACAAACGAATAACAAATAAATATTAATTCAAATTAATTTTTTGCGCAATTCATCAATCACGCTGAGGTAGCGATTACCCAACTCGACAGTGCTCTGTCTGGGCCTGGGTCTGGCTCTGGCTCTGGCTCTGACTCTGGGCTGCAAAGCATAACAGAGCATGCGAAATTTAACTACAAAATTCAGTAGCCAGAAACGTCAACAATCCGAGCTGGTTTCAGACAAAGATCGACTGACGATTCAAGTTCGGACCTAATTTCTGTTGGCTCATCAATCTGTAAATCAGTTTTTATATTCGTTCGCTTGGGGTGCAGAATACACTCTTCTTCCGGCCTGCTGCCCGTCCCTCTGTCTATATGTATTACAGTAAATGTTTACACACTCCTATGACTTTTAGATAGTCAAGCTGAAGTCTCGGAAATTTAAAAGTATATTCACGAGTTCAATGTTTACATCTAATTATCAAAATTATATACGTTCATCTCTCACATGATCTCCAACTATGTAAATGACCTCCCAAACAGATAGATCTATAGATTGTCCATCCATTGGGATATTGCTAGCCGGCAAATATAGATATTAGTATCTATTTCAACTAATAATTATAGCCATTATGAAGTAACTGAGATTTTCCAGGCTGAGATTCTCCATAATTCTAACTTGTGCATAGATTTTGCATTCCGGTTATATGAAAATGAGAAAGTGTAGGAGAGTGAGCGAGTGAGCGAGTGACAACATGCCGTGCATTCCAATGCTCCAGGTTCAACAGGTGTGGCTGATTAGCCCAAGGTGTAAGAATGCGATAACGATCGCGTAGGCAATCGCAGCCGAGTCCCAGCAGCCGCCCACTAGCCCCGCGGAGGCCGCGATGAGTGCCAATTGTTTGCATCGTGACAATATTTTGTTTTTACTTTTCTCAGGGCTAATTGCTATTTCGCGGCTTGTTTACTTGTGTGCACTTATTGTTGGCTTAGCCAATTCCCCCAGGCAGCAGGTGCCGCCTGTCTGACAGCCAGGTGGGCCGAGGCGAACTGAGACAGAGGTGAGTTGCTGATAAGAACGAATCGATTCGATAAGAGGCATTCGCAAGAGCGAAACTTGCATTAGAAAAATATGAGTAATAAGATGAGAGGGTAAAGTATTTTATATAAATATTATTCAGGCAGTGATATATTGAACTATGTCCTACAGAATAGAAGTAATCAACATAGTCTGCTACGAGAGTTAACACCCTGCGGGCAGACCAATTGAAGATCCGAATTGAGAATCAATTGACTTTAATTCTTTGCACGTGCAATGCACCCATGAAAGCAAAGGCTCAGCCCACTTATAAGAATATCAGCAACGGCCTAGAATGTGCACTTTATATTATATTATGTAAACAATTAGTCACTTAAACAAAGGAAAGTTGCGGAATTATGAGTGCGATGATTAATTAATTCCAGTAACGGAAGCATTAATAACAATTTATAAATAGCGAATATGCAACGTTTATTCTTTCTGCCAACGGGTAGCATAAATTATAGAGAATCGGATTCCCAAAACACACAAAAGTCACACACAAATCCGAAATGCTTAGGCAAGCAGTCAGGATGATCAGCATTATGGGCAGTAAACAGCGATGCCGCTTTGCACAAACTCAATTAACAGAATGCATAAATTAACACTCAAATATGAAAAATACAGTTAATACAGGCAGACTTCATATAAATATCATAAATATATTTGAACAGCAATTTAACAAGCTAACGAGCCGCAGACGCCGACAGCTGTGAATTAAGTTAATTGCAAAAGCTGGGAGTATTCGTTGAGGGGAACCCGTTTGAGCTCAAAGCTCTGCTTCATTGAGCTTTGCGAGCTGAGCTTTCGAGCGTCATTGAGCGTCAGCTGTGAGACCTGAATGAAGAATGCGAGTGACGTCAGACGCCAGAGTCTTCTCGCACAGGTACGCAGGTGGGCACTAGCAGGTCTGGGACGTTGCACATCGAGGCAGAGCTGCGCTGCTCGTGACTCATGGCCAAGCTGCAAGAGAGAAATTCCCAAGGCATACTCATTGGCGAATCAGTCCAAGCAGCAATTAGCCTCCGTCCCGCCCGCAGCGCCGTAACACTTCAGTGGCTCATGGCTCGGAGCATCGCGGCGCGGTTCCACTTCATATCCACTCGCGAATTATGCACACGCATCAGAAGTGAAGTGGCAGCCATAGAGAACCGCAAGGGGCAGGACCTCTCCCCGCACCTCGACAGCCGTGCCCAGGCATATGGGCGAATGTATATAGTAAACAAGTTTTCTTTTGAGTGGTGCTAAAAATTTCTTTGGCCGCAAGTGAAACCAGTTTCTCCACGTCGATGCTGTGTGGGGCCCAGTTCGGAAGAAATTCGGTGGTAAATGCTACGAGTCGATCTGCAGCTGATTTGCATAAAGATTCCTAGTTACTCTTTGGGGTCAGATTTGTTAGCTTGAAAGGCTGCCCCACTTCCTGGGCTGGGCACCCCCTGAGCTGTGGTGTTTAGCTCCAATTAAAATCCATTGTAAGCCGCAGTCTTGATTTTCATTTCAATGAAAATGTACGATATAATTTTTAATTATTTATGGCTTGTTGATAGGCAGACTTACCCGTTACCAGGCAACAGCTGAGCCACTTGCCAAGTGGGCGGGGCGGTGTGCGAATGTAGCACGCGTAGAGCGGCAGCACTTGCAGTCTCATGTGACTGACAGACCGCAAAGAGCTGCCACAGCAGTCATTGAGAACAGACACACACAGAGAGAGAGAGAGAGTGAGCGAGAGAGCAACAGAGAGGAGAAAATCACGGCCAAGTCGGGCCCAGACCAGCCAGACAAGACACTCAAGCAGCGTCGCTCGGTTAGTAAAGCGCGGTTTGGCGTTCGGTTGAGACCTCTGCTAACGCATCTTCAGCTCGGAGTCGCTCGATCGCCATGTCCAAGTACACGAAGCTGGTCTGCGGCATTTGCGATCTGCTGCTGTGGGTCGCCCTGATGGGCGGCATCGTGGCGCTGGTGAAGCTGGTGAAGCCCTTCAAGCGCGGCTTCTTCTGCGGCGATGAGTCACTGGGCTATCCCCTGAAGGAGGCCACGATTGGGGTGGCCTTGCTCATCGCCGTGGCTCTGGCTGTGCCCACGTGCGTAATCATCGTTGTGGAGCTGTTCAAGCAGCTGCCGGGTCGGGAGGCGGGCGCCCGGGAGAAGCGCGACGGCTGCCGACTGCTGCACCGCATGGGGCAGCTGTACAAGCAGGCTGGCTACTATCTCTTCGGCCTGGCCATGCTGGCGTTCACCACGCTGCTCAGCAAGCTGTGCATCGGGCGCCTGCGACCGCACTTTTACGCCGTCTGCCAGCCGGTGCTGCCCGACGGCTCCAGCTGCAGCGACGCCCAGAACGAGGGGCGCTACATCGACAGCTACACCTGCAGCAATCCCAACATGACGGACTTTCACTTTGATCAGCTGAATCAGTCGTTTCCCAGCGCCCACGCCAGCCTCATGATGTACTCGATGGTCTACCTGGCCATCTACCTGCAGGCGGCGCTCAGCACGCGCATCTCCAAGCTGATGAAGCACCTGCTGCAGTTCCTCTTCGTGATGTTCGGCTGGTACGTGTCGCTGACCAGGATCACCGACTACTGGCACCACTGGTCCGACGTGCTGGCCGGCGCCCTGTTCGGCGTGCTGTTCGCCTGGCTGACCAGCGTCTATGTGGCCGATCTGTTTGCGTTCAAGCGCTGGGGTCGCGCTGGCTACTCCGCCAACACGCTGAGGAAGGGCCAGGTGTCGCCCAAGAGCTCCACCAAGTCGCAGTCGAATGCCGCCGCAGTGGCCGCTGCTGCTGCCGTGCCGCCAGCTCTGCCCGCCTACACATTTGGCACGCTGCCCTACCTGGCGGCGCATCCTGCCCAAGCGCAATATGCCCAGCCGTACCACAACTACGGATACGTGCCCTAATCCTAATCAGCCTCTGCGGCATCGCAAGCGAGGCAGGTGCTCCACGAACCCATTTGTGCCTCCCAGCCGAACCAGTAGAAGCAGTAGAAGTAGAAGTAGAAGTAGAAGTAGAAGAATAGTCTCTCACAAATCTGTTTTGTTTTTTATATTTTAGCATAATAAAATTCGATATTAATAGCATAATGGAGCGGAATGTTTCACTTGAAAGAAAGTTGATAATGATTCAAATGAATTCGGCAATAAGCTGTTGATCGATCTGCGCCTCGAGTTAAATTAGAAAGCAAAGACCGAACGCAGTTTTACTCAGAGTTAGCTGAGTGGAACGCCTCGCTGAGGAGTGGAGTGGAGTGGAGTGGAGCGGAGTGGATGAGCACGCAATGCAAATATCGATGCAGCTGAAGGATTTCGACTGAAATATGTTTCGCCAATGTGCAGCTGGGATGCCAGACTCTCTTGGCTATTCGATTTCAATTTGAAGCTCAGAGCGGCGACTGCTTAAATCGTGTTTTAGAATGTTCTGTATAGTTTTACAGTTAGTTTTGCTTTTGTCAGGCAGCTTGAATCGAGCAGAGGTCTGAATGGCGCCATAGATTCTCGGGAGCAACGGAAAGTCAACAAAGCCCATTTCAATAGCCAAAATTAGATATTGCCAAGCGCGCCACAGCCGGTTGAAAGACGAGGAATAAATTAATAAAGATTTGCATACTTGAGCAATCGATAAGCAGCATGGGAATGCGACAGCCCGACTCGGACTGAGCTGTGCATTGTTACCAAGTTTTGAGCAGTGAGCAGCCCGACACAAAGAACGTGGCCAGCTCGGTGGCTGGGGGCTGTGAAACAAGTTTTGCCTGGTGGCAGCTAGAGCGGCCCTCGTAACTGCGATAGACATGTAAATTAGCCACGAGCCCAGCTGCAAGACACGGCGACCTCACCGCCAACCAGCCAACCAGCCAAGCAGCCAAGCAGCGAACCAGTGAAGCGGCCAAGCAGCTAGTGTCAAAATGTGCGGCAATCCCAACACGCGRCTGCTCTCGCGGCTCATCATCGACTTTCTGCTCCTCCTGGCCGTCTACGGCGCCGCGCTGGTGGTGCTGCCCCAGCAGCTGACGACGGCTCAGCGCGGCTTCCACTGCAGCGACGCCAGCCTGCGCTATCCGTACCACCAGCCCTGGCTGACCAAGGCCCACCTGACCTTGGCGGTGGTGGCGTTGCCAGCGGCCTTCATCTTGGTGGTGGAGATACTACGGGCTGCTCTACTGCCCAGCTCCGTGGAGCTGCGGCAGCGGTTTGTGTTCGTCGGGGCGCGCATTCCCAGCTTCATCAGCGAGTGCTACAAGGTCATCGGCGTTTACCTGTTCGGCCTGGGCCTCACGCTCCTGGTGATTAGAGTGACCAAGTTTTCCACTGGCCGGCTGCGTCCGTACTTCTTCGACGTGTGCCAGCCCAGCTGGGTCGACGAGGAGGAGGGGAGTAGGCAGAGCTGCGGCTCGCAGTCCTCAAGCAACGCCACTCGCTACATCGAGCTCTTCAGCTGCACCGAGTTCGCTGCCTCGCAGGAGCTGCTCGCGCTGGTGCGCCACTCGTTCCCCAGCGGCTTTGCGAGCAGCACTAGCTACGCCATGGTCTTCCTCATCTACTACATGCAGGTCCGGCTCTTTGCGCCCTGGCTGAGGGTGCTGCGCGCCACGCTGCAGCTGGCCTGCGCGGCGATGGCGCTGCTGGTGTGCCTGGAGCGCCTCTCCACCTACCAGAATCATCTGTCTGATGTAGTAGCCGGCCTGGCAGTGGGCTTCAGTCTGGCCTCGTTCGTGGTCATCTTTGTGGCCCACCTGTTCAGGGAGGTGCGAGTCAAGCGCCGCCAGTGGCCTCGCAACGAGCAGATCTACGGCTACGCGGGCTACTACAATCGCGCCACATACGGATACTGAATGATTAATAAAAGAAAAAACCCATTCGTAAACTTACCGTCTTTTAGCTCTGATTTAGCCGAGTGACCACCCGTAGCCCAGTTCAGAACCAATGTAACCCATCAACGACAAGCTTACGATCCACACAGCAAGTGAAATACCTCCGATCGCAGTCCACACTTAACTTGACTCTCTCTGCACAGCAAACCCTCTCTCTCTCCCTCTCTCTTTATCCATCTCTGCTTTGCTACGCTCCATCAACGAAAAGAAAAAGCAACAAGTGCCAAAGCGATTTGTTTACAAATTCAACAAGAGCGAGCGCACGCATTTGTTTTCGATCAGTTCCGATCGGCGAGCGGCGCTTGAAAGTCTCATTCGGATCGATTCAGTGGCAGCAGTCGTAAAGCCAATAAAAAATCGCAAAGCTGGATATTGCGGACAATGTGAGCCATAAATAGAAATGAGTGCTATTAATAGAAGTTATAAAACAGGCCGCAGCCAAGCAATGCAAGTGAGTAGCAACTGGAGGAGGGGCAATCATCACTTTTTTCGTTGTTTATTATCGTGAAGTGCATCATCAGCTAAATGGGTTTTGGCTTTAAAGCCTTTGGATCCATTCGCAGTGCTGTTCACTCGATTTCAAGTATGCAGAAAATAAAAAACAAATAATAATAATAATAATGCATTTAACGAAGAGTTCAAAGTGCATTTTAAAATGCCAACAGTTGACCCGCACAAACAGGGCAGAATGAAAATGAAAATGGAAAAAATAAGCGCCAGTTGCTGCATTCGAGTTACACTTACATATGCTAAAAACAACAACAGCGACAACAAAAGCAACAAAAAGTGAAGCATACAGAGACGAGAGCCTTAATTCAATCAAATGTCGCTTATTCATTCAATTAAAGGTCGCGCCATTTGACGTCCCACAACGACTACAAATACGGAATTCGAATACGAATACGAATACGAATACGAATACGACTATGAATATGAGTACGAATATGAGTGCGAGCAGCCACTTGGCGGGTGGGTGGAGTCACTGCATACATATATCAGAGTATGCTTTTTATAATGGTTGACAAAGCACTTATTGAAAAGAGTATATTAGTGGCTCAGACTGCCTGGGACTACAGTGCATATAAATCGTATTGCTCATGGTGCCGAATTAGCGTCAGTTCTGCAATGACGCAATCAGCTATGATCCGCAGCCATAAGCTTTTGCCAAATATTACAGATAACTGCTAGACAAATTTAGCTAAAAGTCACATTAAGCTCTTTATTTAGCGTATCACGGTGCTATCTGTAATCACTCTGAGTTTATCTAAATCCACATGTTGTTTTGTTTATGCGTGTGAGCGAGTGTTACGCAGTCTGTTGCAGCCGACTGCACAGCTCAAATGGAGTTGCTTTAATGCAATTAACTGTTCAACTTTGTGCATGCAAAGTGCACGTCGCATTCGCTTTTGGGGACAGCACTCGGCCCTCAGCCCTCAGCCCTCACCCCTGAGCCCACTCGACATTGGCCAGACGGCGTTTACGAGCGCAGAGCTCGGCCAAAGATCAGAGCGCACAATGGGGGCCATTCTTGCTCTTGGAGCTGGAGGCGCAACAGATTAGCGTGTTCGCATTGCACTCTTAGCTGCCGCCTCATAGATGATACTGCGAATCTCAATCGAGTGCGTGCAACGCGCCAATTCAATGCATCACTGGCTCCAAACAATAGGCGACTACTTAGCGAGTCATGGGCAGAGCGAGTGAGTCACCCCGCGGGGGCAGCTCCTGACCCGCGATGTGCGCTTCATGGCAGGTGAAAGTGATAAACGCTGCAAGCGGCAGCGATTGTTTGCCAGTCAGTTTATCACTCAAATGAGCTGAGCATCAATGAATTGGCACAAAACCCAGCCCAGGTGACGAATCTGGCGCTTTAGTGAGGGTCTGCTATCTGGAACACGCTTTTATTTATCTTATCAAAATGATCTTGAGCGCTTCTCTACTTGCGCTTATCAAGTGCCACGAAATTGCTACACTGAGCAAAATTGCCTTGTAGACACGCGATTCTTAGATAGCTCTACTTTTCGATTCTACTTGGGTCTAATTTATCAATACTGCTCTTCTTTCAGTGCACACCCACCGACTGCGAATACAAGGCGAATCGCTTGTAGTCTAATCTAGAACTAAGCTAACTACAAGCATAGTAAAATACAACTGGGAGAGAAAGAGAGAGATAAGTGGAGAGACCTTAAAAAACAATATGCGATGAGAGGAGCTCCGTCGCGCATGAAATGATCGTTAAATTAAAAGAACGTTACCCACTCGAGGCCAGCTCAGTCCGCCGCTGACAACGAACCCCCAACGACGCCAACGAAATCGTCGGGTATAAAAATTACAAAAATAATAACAAAACCAACGAACCCAAACTTAATTAGACAGCATAAAAATTGGAATATTAACTAATTAAAATCGCATTGAGACCGGCGAGAAGCGGAAAAATGCGCGACGCCGACAACGAAAATAGCACAGCCGCCTCCGCCTCCGCCGCAGCCGCAGCCGCAGCAGCCGACGGCCGGACGGACAGGGAACTGAGAAGAGCCTCTGCCGCCCAGCGCCAAACACTGCGCCGCCTGCTCATCGAGCTGTTCGTCATCGTGGTGCTGACGATACCCATCTACGTCTACGAGTTCGCCGTGGAGCCAGCGCGGCGCGGCTTCTTCTGCGACGACGAGAGCATACGGTACCCCTTCCAGGAGAACACCGTGACGCCCCTGATGCTGGGCCTGTTGGCTGGCGCCCTGCCGTTCCTCGTCTTTGCTGCAGTCGAGTACGTGGACTCGATGCGCGCCGGCGAGCTGTCATCGACAGTGGAGCTGCTCGGCTGGCAGCTGTCCACCTGGTGCGTGGAGCTAGGCCGGCAGCTGACCTACTTCATGTTCGGCATGCTGCTGACCCTCGACGCCACCGAGGTGGGCAAGTACACGATTGGGCGCCTGCGACCGCATTTCATGGCTGTGTGCCAGCCGCAGCTGAGCGACGGCAGCCTCTGCAGCGATCCGATCAATCTGCATCGCTACGTGGAGGACTACGAGTGCGCCGCAGAGGGCTTCACCGTAGCGGACGTTCGGCAGGCGCGCCTCAGCTTTCCCAGCGGCCACTCCAGCATAGCCTTCTACGCGCTCCTCTACACGGCCCTCTATCTGCAGCGCAAGCTGAGCTGGCGCAGCTCCAAGCTCGTGCGCCACTTCCTGCAGTTCCTGCTCGTCATGCTGGCGTGGTACACTGCGCTCAGCCGCGTCATGGACAGCTGGCATCATTGGTCCGATGTGCTGGCCGGCTCGCTGCTGGGCGTGGCAGGAGCCCTGATCACTGCCCGCTACATAGCCAAGCTGTTCCAGTCGCCCTTCCACGCCGTCAGCCTGGGCGTCGGCCTGAGACGGGAGGACACCTCGGCCACGCTGCAGGAGGTCTGCCCCAGCACCCCGCCTCCCTACTGTGTCAGCAGCAGCTACAGCGATGACCAGTACTGTACCAAAGTTTAGCCGGATCGCCCTTCGGAGAGATTCGCCAAAGTGCAAATTTGTAATGAAACATTCCAAATGAAATAAAATTCAGCCTGAACGAAGAACACTTTGTGAATCAGAGTTGACAGAGTTGCTAGAAGATATAAATAAGTTAGCTTGTAGTCCATGTGTATTTTGTAGTACTCTAATTAACGCATAAGTCCATTGTAGTCCAGTACCAAATCGTTCAAATGCATTTGTAAACATTTCACGCATTCCATGTATTCATAAGATTCATTCAAATATCTACGTATCGCATATTTATATATTTATATGAGTTGGGCACCTAATATCAAATATAATTTGCATTCAGCCTCACAACTTATGCATAGTTTCATGATAAATTGTTCTACTCATATTGTAATACGTTTGCCTGTACACACATCAATAAATTCGTTCGATCTAAAAGTACGTGAATAATAAGCTATATACTTGCATTCCATGAATATTATCGATAAGCGCCTATTTCTCCTAATTAACAACTTATGATGGCAAATTCAGAAACATTCATAAATGTATACAGGGAATTTAGGTACATACATATCTACAGCTGTTTATTCATACTTATTTATATAATTATACTCATTCACGAAAGTGAAATGAGTATATTGGTTTTGTGCAATGTCCGTCTTGCTGTCCGTCTGTCCGTATGAACGCAATCTATTGAAGCTAAAGTCTTGAAATTTGGAACACATACTCGTGTATATCTCCGATTTATAAAGTGTTAAAATTTTCCCGATTCGCCCACTAGGGGCGTGGMAAATCGGAAAATGCATTTTCCGATAAACCAGAAATCATGTTAGTAGAAGAGCTAGAAAGCTGAAATTTGGTATGTAGGTCCGCGTCGACCACCCTAGATCACGAGCTATGGCGGATATATCTCCGCCCATTAGGGGCGTGGCAAATCGGACCTGAAGATATAGTGATCTTTTAAATTTTGCTATATTTTGAACACTATTGATGCCAGAGACCTCAAATTTTGTATATATACTCGGGCTGATCACCCAAGACCAAAAAGTTTTATCGGATATATGTCCGCCCACAGGGGGCGTGGCAAATCACAAAAATTGATATCTCCTAAAGTATAATAGCTAGAAGCTTCAAATTTAGATTCTTAAGTTACCAGTAACCTCTTCTATCGATAACCCAAAAATAATTTTTACGCTTCTTTAGGGGCGTGACATACCGAAAAATTCCCTGTTATTTTCAGATTTTTTGAGGATAAGCATTCAAAGTTTGCAGTTAAGGTACCGTTATGAGAACTGACAAAAAATGAGGTGAGGCCCAGTAGAGGCGTAGAAAATCGGAAAAACTACTAAATTGTTGATGGGATGTGAATGAGTATTCTGCAGTCGGTAACGCCCTACTGCAACGTTCTTACTTGTTTTTATTTGTATTTGTATGCATAGATATTTATGCCTCACTCATGAATTTGAAAATATGTTTGCAAACCTTTTATAAATCCTTTTTAATGAGGGTGCCAAAAAACACAACAGATTCGAATGATGATGAGTAATATTCGAGGCTTACGCTTCGCTGAAGCTGATTCAAATTTCAAATTTAATTCTCATATATTGTGCTCAGCGCATTCACAAACTGTAAAATTCCCTTGTATTTCATGTTTACCTATATTTGTAATCAATTTATCTACGAATTTCACCTTGTTTCATCAAAATAGCCTAATTGTTTTATTGTTGCTATGGTAAATAATTGTTTATCTATGTGACTCACAAAGTATACCCTCCAACTGTGTCACATCTATGCTAGAGTAGTCGACTGTGGAAGTTGTTGGCTGATGCTGAAGGAGAAGAGTGATTTTTCGGAATTCGGTAAGCAATCATATATGTATATTATAGACACATTTACACAGATTACAGGGTATTGTATGCACGACTACATTGATAGCTCAATATTTATGCTGCGTCATCTACACGTCGCGCGAATGAAGGGACTGGCATAGATGATAAACTTTATTTTCATTGGGTCTTTGCTTGAATGATCGTGGGAATCGCGTGCCTCGGTCGGGCAGCAGCTCTGCTCATCTCAAATTTGGGCATGCTGACTCAAGTGCTTCAGATACTTCCAACTGGACTCTCATAAGAATGCATACAGCGCTTTCGAAATGCAGTACTAGAGCAGCTTTGCATGAAAGCTCAACAGAAATCCACGTTCGTTTTGCCAATAATATTTTGAATATAATGTTTTTAAAAACAAGCTCGAGCCAAATACATTTGAACTCTGAAGGCCGCACAAATGACAAAATTGAAAATATTGTTACACAACTAGTAGAATCCCCGAGACGCAACACGTGCGCGAGTGCATGCGATGCTTATCTGTCAAGGCCAATAACTTGGGGTACTAATATAGAGGCACTGATAATACAGAATTTATATTTAATCATTACGGAAAGATCCGCACTTAGAAATCTTAATACACTCAAAATATAAAACTCGCTGCTGATGCCGGTCGAATATGTATTTAGTGAGAGATATTTCGCTCCTTCTGTGAAATAAGTGTAGCACCATTAACTATAGTTAAAGAAGATCATAGTGCTTAAGCCTTGGCTCATTCCTCATTCTCACACTAAAATTAAACATACTTTGCCGACTCACTTTTAAATGTCATCAATAGATGAATCACAGCTGCTATAGGGTGCTGTCTTTTTTAGATAATCTGTTAAGTCTTATAGACAACCCGACTATTTTCAAAGAAATTATTGTATGGTGCAAAAGATCTTTCCAGCACATCAAATGAAAATTGTCAATGGGAGCAGAAAAGAGATTATAGAATAGTGACATAAGTAGACCTGATTTAAATTATATTATAAAGATAAAATGATGTACACTGTGGATCCACCGCAACAAAGAGTCTAGATATTCTAGTTTTGTTGAAAGCTATAAGTTGAGGGTATGCAACAGGCAGAAGGAGGCATGGCAGACCCAACAAAGTATATATATGTCTCCCGATATTTTATTACCGATTAAAACCTTAATCGAAAATTTGTTAATTATACCTCATACACCTTTACAGCTCGAGTCTCAAAATTCCATATGTATTTTTGTAGAATTTCAGTTTTTGCTGTACATAATTTACTATTGTAAATTCCAATTCACGTGGAACAATTTATTTTATTAACTTTATATGCCGCCAGAATTGATATACCTAGAGCGAATAGCTTTAGCTGACTTTCCCTTAGCTGATCAAGTTGATAATAATAGAGGAATATTTTCGTGTACAATCATCGGTGCACTACGTATGTTTGTGAGAGTATTAAATTTTTGCCAGCTTGTAGTAATAAACTTGCCGTAGTGTTATATATAATTCAGCGATAATCAGCAGAGATTGAATCGTCAAAGAGGCTTCAATTTATTATATTAAAGTCTTAATCTGAGGTCTAACGTCGCGCCTGGGTGCTTGATGCGATCAGTGACACGCGAGCTGCCTAACTGAACGAATCATGAGTTTCGATCTAGAGCTCAGCAAGCTGTTCCTTAAGCGCGGACATTTCCGCCTACTGCTGGACCTAGCGCTGCTTGGCTTGCTGCTCCTGCTGAGCACGTATTTCAAAGAGCTCTGGCCGCCAACGACACAACGAGGATTCTTCTGCGATGACGAGTCACTAATGTATCCCTACCGGGAGAATACGGTGTCCTCCCTCATGCTTCATTGCATTGGTATCTATTTGCCGATGATGGCTCTGCTGATCCTGGAGACCAGTCGAGCTTGGCGGGGGAGTCGCCAGTATTGGCGTGTGTACAACACCTTGCGCTGGTTCATTTTGGGCTATGCCGCGGAGTCACTGCTCAAGGACATGGGCAAGAAT